CACACAGTACGACGCTACCAACGGCCTGGATGACGAGGACGACTTCAACAGCTCCCCCGCTCTGGGGAATAACGGCCCCTGGAGCAGCAAACCCCCTGCCGCCCAGGACAGCAAGCCTGAGAGCACAGCGCCCCAGCCCTCACAGTAAAACAAAAGAAGAAGAAAACAACAGATCCTTGACTCCATGTGGACTGGACTTTTTAACCTATCCCCTTCCCCTGAGGGCAGTGCTTCTACGCCTCATAACATTGTACCCCTGTCTGCAAACTCACCACTGGCATGTCCAGCCAAAATACGTCCGTTCTGGATATTTTCTTCACTGTAACATCTTGGAGAACACTGAGAACTGCCAGCATTGCACAGCAATATCCACATGTCAAAGACATCAGATGCATACAGGTCGTATGCAACTGTAATGTAAAAATAGTAAGGTTTCTGCATTTTTTTCAAGAATGCGGCGGAAAATTGCGGATCGAATTCTCCTCCTTGTGCCCTCAGATACAAACCTCTCGTCTAGTGGAATACTACAGCTGTGATTGGTTGACCTGCAGGTCGCAAGTCATCATGCTGACAGTGGGGGAAAAAATAGAATAAAAACAACAAACAAAATGTCTCAAAAAATGGCAAGCTCAACGGTGAGAAGGCAAGATGTTTTTTAACAGCCAACAGAGCCAATGGAAGCATCTTATCACATTGGAGACAAATAAGAACATTGTTTGAGGCAATTGCATTTTTATTGGAAATTCAGTTGGCTGTTGGTTTTTTCTGCTGTTGCTGTTTATTTCCATTTCCAATTAAGAGGAAATAAAAGTTCTCTACCGCTGTGGACTCCTTTCAAACGAGGGTAAATCGTGTCCTAGGATTGTTTTTCCACATTACTGCGGTCGTCACAGATTGTGATTTCATGCAAACCAGTTTGATTGTGTTCGTAGTCTATTGGTATTTTTGCTTCTCTCAGAATTCTTTGCAATCACGTTGTAATTTTTGCCGATCAGTATGTGAACTTTGCCGACATGCATTGATGCATTAATGTTGATTTTGTTTTTCTTCCCTCCTCGAAAAATTGGACTTCTTTCCCTTTAACGACCTACTCCCAAACTGATACTAAAGCCCTTTCCTGCATGATTTTATAGGATTTTTATTTTGTTTGGTAAATGTACTTCAGTACATCAGTCTGCTTTTCCTTTTGGGTTCATCAGTTTGGGAACACTGTTACAAGGTTTGTAGCTCTGTAAATAGAGGTGGAATCTATCTTGTCCACTGTAAATCAGCCACTGAAACTAGTTTGGTTATGGCAGCTGTTTTGTTTTGTACAGGAGGTTGAGATTTCTGTTGGGTGGTTTGGATGGATGCTGGTTTGCCTCTAACTCTCTAATGTTCCCTGTCCTCTTAGTGCTTAGTTTAGCTAGTGCAGAACCAAAGCCACAAAGTTAACAAACCACACATTCAAATAATCATATTTCTTGTATATTCTGTGACACAGGAAGAAAAACAATTTTACATTTTGAAAACAACGCTCAGATAAAATCCCATCCACCCCACAGAAATGGTTTGAGGTCCCTGTTTTTGTGTTCACAATTGTTCTATAATCTTTAATCGGATTGATATTATATCCCTGATCTCTTTTGTTGGACTTTTGTTTGGAAATGGGCAAGAAGACAACAACAGATGTCTTTATACAATTGGATCTTATGGGTATTTATTTGTGCATTTGTAAGGAAGCTAACACATTTCTAAATATGTTTGAGCCTAGTATTATTAGACACCATTTGTACATTATATAGCAGAGGTGTTCAGTGTCATATCTGATGTCTGGTATGTATGCTTTACCATTATGTGTGCCAATAAACCGTGCTTACAAAGGAGTTGAATTTGGTTTGGTTACATGCATCATGTGTGCACGTAGCATCTGTTTGTGTGGATATTTACTCTCACCAGTTAACTCTGATCAGTTTGATCAGCCGTTGAAAAGCAGCTGACCGAAACAATCTTACCACAACCTTCCTCAACAGATTGGAAAATGTAATTTTGTCTTGTCCAACAACGAAAAGTCGTTAATGTGCTCAGAAAAATTACAATGTTAACATGTACAATGCCATAACAACCTTATCTGAGAAGAAGAAAGTGTAATTCAATCGCTAAGTGGACATTAAGATGAGACCATTTGATTTGCTGTTTTGCTAAAGATAGTGGATTTGACTGATCCTTTTGGGACAGTTTCACAGTTTCTTTAGCTACATCTTAAAAGACAAAAAGCGAACTTTAAAACGGTCTATAAACAGTGATAACATCATTAGAAATAATGTCTAAATATTCCCTGCGTCTGTGATGAAGTCATAGCATCACCTAAACTTCATGTTTTTGGCGTTTCTCAAAAGAGAGAACCAGAGATAAGACAGAGATAGATCAGAATGCAATGCAGCCACAAGACAGGTTGTGTTTTAAATATGTGAGCATCATCCCAAACACGCTCTAGTATTAAAACACTAATCCACTTCTTTGTTTCATATATATACATACATTTAATTCAGGTTCATGTATTTCCCCTACTCTTTGGATGTTAATAAAAAGCATTCTAGGAAATCACTACATAAAGAATATGTTTAAACGCTTTCCTCAGAAATGGTCAGAAATGATATCTAGTGGTGTATCTCCATGGATTTTTTCTTTAATGTGTAGACTCTCTCCACTGCAGTTATGGCCTAAGGATTCCTGTAGGACACTGACAGGCCCAAAATGTAAGGACAGTTCATCAGCAGATTGGTTGTTTCTTTTAGTTTATGAAGAAATTCAACATTAACATTTAAGCTAGGTAATCAGCCTTGGTATGTGACATGCTTGTATGTTAAGTATTTTATTTTCATGGGACTTTACTTGTACTTAGAGAGACATACTGTACATTTTACTTCATTACATTTATCTGACTGCGTTAGTTACTAGTTATTTTACACATTAAAAAGTTTACACACAAAACATGCAGAACTTGTAAAATACGATGTTGTGTTATACATTAAACTACCCAACTGTTTACAGCTGAATTGAATGAATCAATAAGTCGATTGAAAGAAAGTTTATTGGCAACTATTTTGATAATTGTTTAAGTCATTTTTAATGCAAACATTTCATGGTTCCAGCTTCTCAAATGGGAGGATTTGCTACTTTTCCTTTTACTTATTTAAAAACAAACATTGTGATTGTGTTACTTTGAACCCTGGGTAATTGTGATGGCACTTCTCACTAACTGCAGAATTTTTATAAACCAAAAAAGCAATCTATTAATACAAAAATATTCAGCAAACTGATCAACCAACTACAACAGTAAAATCCTGCTTTTATATTAATGCATGAGTAATACTAATCTAATGATATAATAACAGTCACAGCACCTGTACCTTTAATACTTACTTACATTCACTTTGAACAGATTTTTCTTACAAGTCTAGTACAAGTACAAGTATTAGTACTTTTACTCAAGGAAATGATCTAGTTATAGAACTGCATCCACCACTGCAAGTAATGGATTCTGTAAATTTATTTAAATAACCTTAAGCTATTAAGCTTAAGTATTAAGCTACTACCATAAGCACTGTTACCTCACAGCAAGAAGGTCCGGGGTTTTAACCGCAGTCGTCCCGGCCTTTCTGTGTGAAGTTTGCATGTTGTGCGTGGGTTCTCTCTGGGTGCTCCGGCTTGCTCCCACCGTCCAAAAACATGCGGACTAGGTTGATTGGTGGCTCTAAATGGTCCTTAGGTGTGAGTGTGACTGGTTGTTTATCAATGTGTGGCCCTGCGATGGATTGGCGGCCTGTCCAGGGTGTACTCCCCCTTTTGCCCATTGTCTGCTGGGATTGGCTCCAGGCCTCCGCGACCCTGTATGCAGGATAAGCGGTTGACGATGGATGGATGGACCTTGATTTGATGTACCTTCCCTTTACCCTGTGTTGCTTCTTGATTTTATTTGAAATTTTGACATTTATTGGCTTGTTTCAAGCTTCTGGTTACCTGAATATTTTTTCTAAGTAAACCTTGGAACATGAACCTGGACTTTGTGTGATACTCAGCGAAGTTACCCAGATAACTCAGTAGTAACAGGCCACAGCACTGTTGTTGGGTAAACTTTAAATCCAGGACGATGTGATGGAACTTTGGCGGCACCAAGTGGAGAATATTGGGTACTGCAACAACGTCTTCAATTGTTCAATAATTGCAATTTTTCCAGTTTTTTTAAAATCCGTATTAATTTTATTTTATTTTTTTAAATGTTAAGTTTTATAATTATCATAATTGTTATTGTTGTAGTATTTTAAAATAATGACGGAAATAATGTACAGCATATCTTTAGCATTGGCATGATGATGATACCAGGGACATTTATAAAAAATTATACAAAGATAACAAGAATAATATTAGCATATATCATACATTAACATTACGTTAATCTACAGTACATGTTTTTACATTATTATTTTTGCCATATTCGATCAGCTCTTTGCAAAAATGAGTTAAGGCTTGCAATAAGTCAATTTCATGAATTTCATGTATTTCATGAAAAGACATTTATATGAAATGAATCTAGCTTCTTTTTGACTACCATAGATTTTCATCTGTAAATGTGGCTTTATGAATGTGAAATTTAGCCAAAAAAGTAATAAGAAAAAACAAAACTCGAATTTGTGTTATCTTCTATGGTGCCAAGTAGCACAAGTTTTCAAAATAACATAAAAAGTTCAACAATAAAAGCACAAAAGTTATTCCAAAAAGTTTCACAAAAGCAGCAAAAAGTCAAGGAGGATTTAAAGGCAGAATTAATGACATTATCTTTTCCTGTTTAAAAAAAAAAAATTAAACAAGAAAGATTAGATACTGTCATTAATTCAGCCTTTTGAAAGTAAAATATATATATATGAGTAAACATATATAAGTTTAAAAGAAACCGTCGAAGCTGCCTTGTGACGTTCACAATGACGTTGTAACCCACAGTAAGATGACGTTGCACGGGGCAACGCGGCGGCAGCAGCCAAAGTAAAGATGGCGGACTTGTCGGGGACCGAGCTGTCAGAGGAGAAAGAAACAGAAATAGAGCTAAAGAAAAGGCAGAAACGACCGTGGGAGGATTTGCACAAGTCGGGTAAAATCGGCCTCACCCCAGAACTGCCAGAAACGTTGGGATTTTACGACATAAGTGCAGTCAGGAGGGAGCAACGGGAGCACCCAGCAGGTAAACGTAGGGTCCCCACTACTGACGTTACTAACGTTACAGCTAATGCACGTTAGACTGCTTAACTTAAATGTGTTGTTTTAGCTTGCTGACTGTGTACGTTCGCAGTGGAGTGACATTATTAATATAATATTTTAAAGATAACAGTCATTTTCCAAATATCTAAGTAAGTTGGACGAACGTAAACGCTGAATCGAGATCTGTCATCGCTTGTTGTTCAGCTTTACAGTCTGTGCTAGCTTGATTAACTAGCTAGCTAATAATAAACTGTCTCATTAAACCTGCTTGTAAAACGACTCTGTGACTGATACAATAGAGTAATATTTTAAAACTACTTCTGGATCTTCTCACTCAAGGTATAACGTTAGCTGCTGTATTAATGTCTAAAGTTTGTAGAGGCTGCATAAACAGCGTCTGTAACGTTAGCCTAGACAAAGATAGACAGTTCAGTGAGCAGAAAATATAAACACATTAACATTCTTGTTACAGTATCTAATCTTGATAGTTATGATAAGTAAAAATGTCAACCATGCTGGTTCCAACTTCTCCAGTGTAAGGAATAGGAAGATTATCTTTGTCATGAAGGTTAACTGAATATCTTTTGTCTTGATTAAACGAGATAAAAAATATGCCACCTTGGGCATTTTCACAATTTTCTAACATTTTATGGACAAAATGGATAATAGATTAAACAATGATTCGCAGATAACGAAAATTATAATTAGTTGTAGCCTCACTTATCAATATGTGGTCGATCCTTTGGTCTTTCTTATGTAGTTAACGTCTGCTTGCTACATTTACTGTAAGGTAATGTAATATTTATTGTACACTGAATTCATCTTTGTCTTTACTTTATGAAGCATGACATATTTGATGGGTTCTCACAGGTTGAATTCAAGTGGAAAAAATTTCAAGATAAGTATGTGGGCATTAGGATGAAGTCAAACTGAGACAACAAAACCAACCCTGTATTTTTTTGCATATATTAACCTAGTTCATAACAAGAGATATCACTCTATTTGAATAGTTTCAAATATATTAATTCAGTCAGTTTTTCAATTTCAATTGTTCTTCCAATATGTAAAATGTTTTTCTTGATGTAAAGATGCAGTCTTTTACAAGGCAGCTCCTTCTCACCTTCTCAAATTTCTTGTCTCCTATAATACAAAACTGAATATCTCTTGAGTTTTGGACAAAACATAACTTAACTATATTTTATATAAACAGAGCCGTGTCAGCCATAAAATAACCTACAAACCTACAAAACCTACTGTATATTACAAAGAACATGCATGCAGACAAATTCATGGTGCATTGAATCAAACTGCGAGTTAAGAATATTGTTAAACCCCCAGTTTTCCCCATTCAGAGAAGTTTCCTTCTCTTTCACTTTGCAGTGCGACACTCAAAAGGTTGGCACTCTCATTGTGTTGATAGCTGTGATTGTAACTGTCGCAGACAATGGACTTGGTGGGAACACTGGTGCTCTAATGTTGTTCCAGATCCGTCGTTGACGCGCTTCATTGCTGCAGAGCTCACCAGAGGCTACTTCCTGGAACACAATGAGGCAAAGTACACCGAGCGCAGAGAGAGAGTTTACACATGCATGCGTATTCCCAAGGAGCTGGAGAAGGTACTATATAATAAAAGTCCTGAACTCAATTGCCCTCTCTTCTCCATTTGTCTTCATCTGTCTGCTGTCTTTCCCAGAAGTACACAGAAGGCAAAGTCATGTTTATAGCACACAGCCAGTCCATAACTGTTTCAAACTAAGTCAGTGCTAAACCTGATCGTCCCACTACATGTTTTGCAATAATGCTGAGCTGTTTATTGACAAATTTATCAACTCCAGGCTTTGTAATTGATTAATTGTTTTGGTCATTTATCAAGTATAAAATACCAAAGATTTGTTGGGTAGAGCTTCACAAATGAAGATAAAACCAGCTTGCTTTCTCCATTTAATATCATTATAAATTGAACTTTTTTTATTAGTGGTTGGTCAGATTAAGTTTGGCTGATTGCACTTTAACAATTTTGCACTAATAAGTGATGTATGTAAAATAGTATTATATAAAAACTTTTTTTTGCCATGTGCCTCACTGACATCTGCATATTTTTGTATTTCTTCCCACAAGCCACCAGGTGGCAATGTTGAAACATAAAATGTGGATCCATCTGAACTGTGCACTGCCTCTTTCTCGGAATATCACATACTGTACTTCACAGTGATAACTGTTAATAAAAAATATATCCTTGTACTGAAAAACACAAGTTACAGCCTGTTAAAAAGACTGACCCAAGTTATAAAATTATAGTTTTATGTATCACACAATTATGCCATTGGAGGAATCCTCTATGTTTGCATGTAATATTGAGATCTTTGTTTATTGTGTTTGGTGTTGAATAGACTCTCTACAGGAATACATCCAAGCAAGCGAGCTCAGACTAATATAGTTCTTACTGGCTTGGTTTTTCCTTGGGGGCAAAAGAGAAATGTGTGTAAACATAAAAAGACCTCAATGATTTTACTATGTAGAGCAGACTAACCAACTTCACCCACACCTGACAAGGCCCCAAGAAAAGTTACACAGAATCCACCAATGAGAGACAAACCCTCCCACTAGCTTCACAAAACGTACCTCAGTGCCTTCATGTTGTAGGAGTCAGAAGACGTCAGCTGGCATAAATACACTTCTCGTAATATGTTACTTTTAAAATGACATGGCGATGGCTATTCAAATGTGGGACACTGTAAAGGTATGTGTCTGTTGCATCATTGGATTTAGAGCTAATCTTTTTTTGTGTGTCATGTTTTAATCAGAAAATAAGAGTTTTTCAGCTAGAAATAATTATTTGGATGTGAAGAAACTGTTGTGAATCCCTCCAGCTGATGCTCTTGCATTTCTTCATATTATTTTATTTTGTTGTACTTGTCCTTGTTTGACACACAGAAATACTTATTTATCTTTCAAGATGATTAGTAAATGGGTCTGTAGGCTAAACAGTCTTTCCCACTGATGATCATTGTTTTACTTAATGCATATTGTTCACGCTGACAATTGTTGACTTGGAGGTGTTACCATGTGACTTTTCCAGCTGATGACCTTTGGCTTCTTCCTATGTGTGGACGCCTTCCTGTACGTCTTCACCCTTCTGCCCCTTAGGGTGCTGCTGGCCATCCTCCGCCTTCTCACCCTGCCATGCTGTGGCTTCAGGTCAGAGCCTAAACACACACTCTCCTACCTATAAACATAAAAAAATAAAACCATATAAATATACCTGCATACCAAAAGAAACGCATAGATTTTCAAGATTTTTTTGTCAGATTATTGGAACAAAAGAATTTTATTTATTTCATATTTTGAAAAAAAATTTCACAATTTTTTTTTTGCCTCGTGCAGCATACAGTGCCAACCTGTACTGTCTGACCTGTAACGTGGCGAGAATGACCAACTTGAGAAAGCGTTTGGGAGTATTTACCTGTGAATAGAATATGTTTGAAATGACACAAGCATAGAGAAGTGAATGTGTCAGTGGTATTAATTATAGAGACATACACACAAATAAATGCATACATATAACTCAAAAAGTTGTGACAAATAGTTCTGCTTGGTAGATGAGCATGGTTGATTTTAAAGTAATGCAGTATTTACCATCTTCCTTTTTGGTTTCTTGCTTTTAAACAGACTTTTCTTTTCAACGAGAAGTCACTAACTAAGCCGTGCACAAAAACTTGCCAGAAATGTTTGCATTGTTTCTCTCTATACCTACTGTATAGCAGCAGAGACAGTTACAGACATCACTAAATAGATTTGAAGATGAAAAGTTTATACTATATGATGTGGTGGTGAAGAGAATTTTCTTACATGTGGTCCAAAATCTTTCATAGGTATGAAACTGGTTTGAGACTTGGTGACTGTTTGTGTATTTCCCTATAGGAGCTATAGTTTTGAACATAACAGCTGTTTTCCTTCTTCAACATGGAGAAAATATAGGCCTTCAAAAGATTCTGCTAAAGGTTTCTTATTCACTTATTGCACCAGGTTTGTCTAATTAATGGTCTCCTTTTTACCAGGATTATGTCTATATGAAAGCCCTATTTATATTATACTATCTACTATTACACAGGTCTGGAAATGAATTTAACCGTTTTTTCCTAGGTCTTGATAAGGTTGTGATTTGTACAAAAGGTCTGGAAAAAGAGGGGGAAAAAACACTCAATGTAGCTTTTATCCAACTGGCAGTTCACATGTTGTGAGTTGTCTTCTGCTGTTTAGATATGTTTTCATTAACAGCTGTTTGAGGGAATAAAAGGTATGGAACATTGAAACTGAAAAGCAGTGCAGTAAACCTGCAGCTACAAGGCACACAGTATGTACCTGAACCTCCCTGATGGACACTGCCTGCCCTCCTGCCCACCCCCCCCCGCCTGATTCTCCCCTTGCCTTCCTTCCCCCTGCAGGGCACACACATGCCCCTACTGCAGAAGAAGCAGGTACGCTCCCTAAAACCTATCATGGCTTCATAAATCTGATGACTGTCCTAAACTGGCCTCCACATGCATTCACCAGTTTCTCTTCATCTCCATTATGTCTGTTAATATACAGCTCGGCACCTCACGTCATGTTCTCCAAACCACAGCAGCCATGTTGGTTCCTCATAAGTCTGGGGATTTTCTTTTATCTTTATTTTTTAAAAACTCATCCAGGGAAGGTTTGCTGAGAGTGCATGCTCATTCTCATCACCATGTTGCTTGTCAGTGATACAGCTGCACATGCTTAAACTGCCTACTGTACAGCTCCTCTGGAACAGTTTGGGGCTTATTTGTCTTGTTTAAGGGTATCTGTCGGCAGTTGTTGTTGAGGAAGGTAAAAAAACTAGTTCACCTTCCCTGCACAGAAACCCCAAGCTGCTCCACAGAAGCAGAACAGCTTCTTTTTGGTCACAGCTTTGCTTCACAGTTTAGTATAAGAATCAGGCTTTCTCTTCTTTTTCTGGTGCAGTCTTACTGCCTACTGTCAAGCTAATGCAGTATGATTGGCACTTAGTGATGGCTGCTAAGAATGCAGTACATAGCTGACTGTACTCAAACATACATGATATTCATTTGTGTTTTGGAGATAATGCTTGTAGAAGAGAGACAGTGAAGACTGCTTTGTACAGGTTACACTAGCAGCCGTCTGCAGCAGCCAAGTGTTTCGCACATGTTGGGGATTAGATACATTGGCACCTTTAACCACCTGAATACCAAAAGCTACTGTTAACCAACGCATACTTTTAAGAGAAGTGAAATATTGTTGATAAGAGATTAGTTCATTATTCGATTAGACGATTTTACCAGCAATAGTTTAGATTTTTTAGGCCATTTATCAGGGAGAATGTCAAATATTCACTGGTTCCAAGATTTTCTGCTCCTCTGTTATGTTGTAAATGAAATATTTTGCCCTAGTATCTTTTATATCTGATTTTACTCTTCTTTTTTTTTTTGTTTGTTTGTTTGTTTTTTCATGATTTCTTGTTCAGTATTTGTTCTGCAGCAGTTTAAATACTCAAAATGTATTTTCTGTTGCAATCTTTCCTGGTTTACCTCGCTCCTTTATCCTCTGCTACAGTACACTCTATCCTAGTACACTAAACATTTATCTATTGTAAATTATTGCACATTGAGCGCTTGAACAAAAAACTTTACATCAAGGGAAAAAATACAATTCAGAAATAGATGATCTGTGGGAACCTATCAAGCTTATGTTGTTATTTTTGACTATTTTACTATTTGACCATTGGATGGTGCCACAGCATCAAGAAAATAATCTTTAATATCATATGGACAACTTCCTGATAATAGATAGGAACCCATTTTTGTGCCATCATATTTATATCATATTTATAGATATGAGATAAGGGTTAATGGCTTTTATATAATTTCATCTGTGTTTCCAGGAAATTGTTAATAAGCTGTACAACTCATGCCCTTTTTTCCCCCTCTCTGTAGAGATTTTAACTATTGATTAGGAGGCTCCTAATCAATAGTTAATCAATAGTTCTCTACACCTTCCAGCCGTGCACTATTTCCATCTTAATATTTTTTTCTCTCCCATGTTTTAAAAAAGTGTGAGGAGTAACCCTGTTGTTGTTGTGATGCAAGATTAATCGACTGCCGCTGAATTTAATTAAGGTCATGATGGCTGTTAGAGTAGTTTGAGTAGTATTAGTCTTTGTTGTTTATAGTGATTTAGTGGAAAACTGTGAAGTGGTACATGTAGGACAGTTGACCTTGGGCAAGAGAGGTGGCTGTTCAGCTGAGGAGCAATGATACTTAAGTCTTTGTGGCAATGTGGTCAAATAAAAAAACAACAGCAAAACACTGTAATTTGGCTGTATTGTGTTTGAAAACAATAATGTTTGTGAAAATTGAAGTTGAGCCTTATGGTCAGTAAGGGTAAGCATTACATATTTCTCTAGCTGTAGTTAGTGGTGTTTGCAGACATCTAGACCAGTCACACAGCTGACATGTAAAATATGCAGGGCTTCTTAAAGTTAAGCTCTCTCTCTCTGGCTCTTCCCAGTTATCCCTGTTATAGTAAATACTGAATAACCGGCCCTATGGATTTGTCAGCCCTCCACGCTCCCAAGCTGCCATTGCCAACCGTTGCTATTCATTATGAAAGATACACATGTTTGAAACCCCACGTTACCCATTAAAAGACGTTTGTTGCTGTTTTTGCAGTATGTGAAAGCTTAGCATGTGTGTTTTCTTACATTTATTTTGTTCACCCAACACCATTTCAAACATTTCTGTCCAAAATGCTGCACCCCTTTTGGTAACAAAAATATAAATATTTCCATAAAGATGGATGCTCATATGAGTTTTTGTTGGCGTACCGTTGTCTATTTGGTAGATAAGGACAACACAGATTTAATCTTAGAAGAGCAGAAGCACAGAACATAAACAGAAACATATTGAAAGGAGATAAATTTTATGAATGAGATAACATTTAGTATAAAGGAGATACTGACTTTAATATTTCACATTGTGATATTTGTGTTATCACTACTTGTTGCCATTTCCTTTATGCGGGATATCTCATTTTGAACAGAAATGAATTATCTATCCCTAGGTGTTGTCCTATTGTGTCCTTGAATGGTATGAAAAGCAGAGATCTCTCAGCCTCTATAACTAGTCAGTAATGTCATCTGGTATTGAAATGAATCAGGGGTCTGCTCCCTCTTCGCTCTATACCAGTAGATCTCTGTATCAATTATGCAAATGTTTGTTAATGCTGTAGTGTCATGGTCATACTTTTATGTGCTGAAAATGTATGTTCATCAGCATCCACATACATTATGTGTGGTTACAAACCTTTAATTGTTCACTGAGACAATATAATTAGGTTTATTGTTTGTGCATGTTAGGCATATACAAAACTACATATACTGCACTATCTCAGCATGCAAGTATGTGTTAAAATATGTGAGAATGTTCTGATAGGTTGGTTAAATGTGTTTCTATTTTCAATACAGATGTTATAAATTGATTTTTCTGTGTGTGTGTGGTCAGCGGGTCTCGACTGCTGCAGCCAGCACAGGTATGTGACATGCTGAAGGGCCTGATCCTGGTGCTGTGCTTCTCCATGATGCATTACGTCGATTACTCCATGATGTACCACGTGATCAGAGGACAGTCTGTCATCAAACTATACCTCATCTACAACATGTTGGAGGTAACTCATATTTTATACACTCACATGTGACATTTGATTCTAAAATAACTGTATTCTAAAACATGCAGGATTCAAACCTTTATGTACATTCATCGTTTTTTATGATTCTGTGTATGTCCAGTTTTTTGCATACAGCGTGTATATAGTTCTGGCAGTGAATACACACACAGTGGCCACTGGTACATTTATTTTGTCATCGAGCAATGAAACTACAAAATTAAATGGAAATAGAAAAACTTCTGTGATCACTTGCTTACAGTGTAGTGAGCCAGATAGGTTTAATGCATTGCTCCAGATCTTTTCCACATGACTAGAATGTCGAATTTTTGTCCTTTAGTTACAGAATGATTAGTACTGTATCAATGGTAAGGCTGCAAAATGGGGGGAAAAAGGGTTTCCAAAACCTAGGAATTACCCAGAATTTCTAGGAAACTCTTGATGTGATGTTTGCAATGGAAATTATAATGATTTACTGTGTTTCTGACACAAAAGTTCCAGAACCAGTTACAGGTGCAATACATGTCAGACTCATGTGACTGGAATCCACGTTTATTGGACATTATGTGATTTTTGTTGTTATGAAGAGTGGTTTATCTTAGTTGACAGTCAGTTGTTAATTGCATTATATGGAAATGAAAGGGTAGGATCTTATCTCAGAAGAGAACAAAACAAGATGGCATAATTGTTCTGCTGGAAACTAAAACATCTATGAAAAAACAAAACAATATGATGCATTCATGTAGGCAAGCTCAAGGAAGAGCAGGAAATTAATCAAACCTCTGGTTGAATTACATTAATTAAGTTATGATCGTATCTGTCATTCCTCTGCAAGGTGGCTGACCGCCTTTTCTCGTCCTTTGGTCAAGACACCCTGGATGCTCTCTACTGGACAGCCACAGAACCCAAAGAACGGAAAAGAGATAATATAGGAGTCATTCCTCACTTCGTCATGGCCGTCTTTTATGTCTGTATCCTTCTTGTTCAGAGCCACAGAAATATGGATGTCACAAGTCTTGACAAGCTGATTTGAATTTTGATGATGAGTGATTGTCATTGGGTGTCTCTTTACTGTTTCTAACTTCCCAGTGTTACGTTTGACAGATCACATACAGTTAGTCCCATATTATATTAGTCCCTATTTCGTGGTGAGATTCTTGAGCTCTGTGTGACCACTGAAAAAGATAAAGTGCTGCATGAGTTGGCTGAAAGATACCAAAATGAAAATTGTTTCTCCAACAACACAGGGAAATGAGAACTTAATAGCAAAAAAATGTACCGGTATACATTTTCCTTAGGGCTGAACAAAAATACCTGAACCAGCTGAGTTCAGTGCATTATTGTGTATTTGTCCATTGTTTTCTTGAGCTTACAATATGTTCTTCCCTCATGCGTTCCATCTTTGATTGAACTTTATATTACTATTAGACTTAGGTTTAAATTACTTTTACTGTACTTTCTGAGCATTTCATATTACAGCGTGACCTTTAGTGAATGAGCAGAGCAGAAGCTCTTGATCTAGGATATGTAGAAAGAGCCCATGACTGTTGATGGTCACAGCTAAGTTGTTTTCAGGCATTGATTTCAGTAGAAGGTGGCATGTCTACCTATTAAGATGTGTTACTTGTAGTTACGTTTTGAATGAAAGGGTAGTTGGTGCTAAAATGCTTTTTAAATCTGTTGTTTTCCTGAGCAGCTGTTTGTCAGTCCTCCATGCCATCCTCATCATGGTCCAAGCGTCCACCCTCAACGTCGCCTTCAACTCGCACAACAAGTCCCTGCTCACCATCATGATGTCCAACAACGTCAGTGCACACATACACATACAGATATGCATGTTTATGCAAACCAAGATATTATAGTATACAACAATCTGCCTGATGTGATTGTTTATGCAGCTACACTCTTCCACTAACAAAATATATGCACACTTGCTCACAAACTTACTTAAATAATTTGTATGCAGATGTGTCCCAGAAATATTTAACTTGGCATGCTGATGATGAAACGTTACTGTTGCAGCTGCAACATAATAGTTTGTGTTGTATTTTCTGGAGCTTAAATACTGCTTACTGCATTTCTTTCTTTCTTCTTCTCACAAATACAGTTTGTGGAGATCAAAGGAAGTGTGTTCAAGAAATTTGGAAAGAACAACTTATTCCAAATGTCCAACAGCGGTAAGATATTCACTGCAGTAATCACACATGTTATACATAATTTGAATTAATAAAAACAACAGGGAACTAAAAACATACTTTTATACTCTAATTTAATTAGCTTCTTATGTGATGTCAGTCTGCATAGAATTTATTTACTCTCAAAAAATGTAATACTTCATCTACTATAAGGCTGTCTCACAGTCTACCAAATCTGCAATAATCATTTGCCTCATGCTTCCTGCTCTTTACTGCTACAGCTAGAAAAGGGAAAATTGTGTATAATCGATTAAGTAATTTTTCAGTCTGATGTCAGAGTTATTATGACAACGCTTAAACATGAGTAATAGATGTGTATACATTTTATACTTTGAGCCTTTTGCTGATTCACTTATCAGGTGAAGCTTCCAATAATGGTCAGTTCCATAGTTGGTCAACATTAAACACATACAGTAGTAGCAGCGCTCTGGTAGTAGGCCAACAATTTTTGCTGACCTGATACTGTTTCTTGTTTCAAAAAGCTACTTTTAAGTGAGTCATGTAGATGAAACATACTTTTGACATTTTCTGTTGGATGTTTTTTTACTTACAATTGACATCTATCATTCAACATGACTGATTGATTTTTAGTAAAATGTTAAGCATCAAACTGGAATGGAAAAACATTCAAAACAAGCAACAACTTAAGTAAAATTACATATGACCCTTTTATGAATCGGTCCATTAGGATTGGGCCGATATATGATGCCATCGTCCATCCCGATGTTTCAATGTAGACATCGTCCAACCCTAATGTCCATGTGGCTTTGATAGTCCGAATAAAGATGTATATTAAATACATTGTGCATTTCCCTTTTGATTCCCTTAGTCACTCTTATTGTGTTCTGTTGACAGCTGAAGACAATAAGCCTTTATCAGCTGCCATTTTACTCCCACTGTTCACTCACATCTTGGTAGATTTCCTGTTTATCAAGCTGTGCATGGTCCTTATTAGTATGGTATTATCAGCATAGGGCTGGGTAATAAAACAGTAATGATAATTATCGCAGTAAAGGTTTCCTCAATAACAATATAATGAATGTTCAATAAATGTTTAATTTAATTCATTTGATGATTTATTTTGATGAGGACTACTTGATTTTACTCATGCATATTTGTTGATTAAATATTTTATCATAATTGTTTTGAATGTTCTACCTCAAATTTGTTTAGTTAATCCACTGTTTGGCATCAAGTGTTTGTCTTGTTCTGACCATACAGCTTATTTTAAAACCAAAGTTAACCGCCTGGTTTCTTCAACTTTCACTCAGGAACAAAAATCTGCCTTTAAACTTGAAAGAAATAATGATTTGACATTTTTCGTGATAAAAATTGATATCGACTGACATGGAATTTTTTATTGTGCTAACATTTTTTGCCCATAGTGCCCAGCCCAATATCAGCGCAGACAATGCCGTGCTGAACATTTAAAGTACTATCCTTAAATTATAATAGATGGATGTCTATAGCATGCAGTGCTGTTATAAGACCAAAAGCCACTTCGACATGCTGCTATAATGAACAGTGATTTATTTCAGACTTTTCCTCCGCACCTCCGCTCAGCAAAACTGACAGATCTGACTCATTTAAAACCGTCTTTCACACCTTTAACACCGCCTCCTTAAACGCGCGCGAAACTGCAGTATGAGGATACCAAGTGTGGGAGAAAGCAACTTTCCCACTGTTATATCTTAAATGTTGATGCTTCTTAATCAACTTTTAAGAGATTGCAATCACAAATGTGTTTATTTTATTCTTCAGATATCAAGGAAAGGTTCACCAGCTACGTTCTCCTGCTCATCGTTTGTCTCAGGAACATGGAGCAGTTCGCATGGAACCCAGGTAATTATCTGTTTTTCCATAAACTGCAAACAAAATGCAAACAGATGTCCTGCTTCCCCAGGTTAGTTCACCATAGTTTGTCTACTTCAAAAGCTGAATTTTTGAAAACGGTCACTGCTTGTCATGAAAAAATTCAGAAAAGTCTGCTGAGCAGCTCCTTTCCTGCTGATTTGGACGACCCTAATGCAACACTTTGGGGATGTTTCTCTCCTACCAACCTCAGTGAATGCAACAGAGTAGAGTGAGGGATGACAGCTGGGTGTTTCTGTACGCCAGCCCTCTGAAACCAATCAGCGCCTTCTGACAGTCTCAAAGCCAGTCACACAGTGGATGACAGACGTGGCATGTCAGCTGAAAATGTAACACTGATGTGCTAATACTAGCAGAGCTACAGCTTTCTGTTGTTAAAGAAGTATACAAATCACACATCCCCAGTAATTTACTTATCTTTTTCTGTTGGATACTTACAACGTTTCCAACGTTGCCTACCTCAACTTTAAGTGTCGCCACACTTGAATCCTGGGTCAGAAAATCTCAGAAGTGGGCAGTGAACACAATCGCATTAACTACAACTGAGGATCGAAGATATTTTAACTCCAGCTGTTGCTCTAGTGGAGCTTCTATAACAAAAGTAAACTGGTTGTACCTGGAACCTGGTATGTTGTGGGCTGAATGTAGACAATATCCAGGGAAGGATTGCTGAGTATGTGCACTCTTCCCAGCATAACGTTCCCAGCATAAATTAGGTAAAAATACATTATAAAGGTAATATTTAACACAGTTTGTTGTGCCCTTTTCTCCCTCAGACCACCTGTGGGTGTTGTTTCCTGATGTCGTTATGGTCATCACCTCTGAAGTTGCTGTTGACATCATTAAACATGCTTTCATCACTAAATTCAACGACATCACAGCAGATGTAAGGACCAAACTTGATATTCATTATTCACACAGTACATTTATAATACTTTGCTCACGTACATTGTCTTTCCCAGGTGTACAGTGAATACAGAGCAAGTTTGGCCTTCGATCTTGTCAGCAGTCGACAAAAAAATGTAAGCAACTTACAGCATCTTTTTTCACATCACCATCATTATACTTACATAAACAGCACTGAGCCTACGCAGCTAATTAATGCAGTTTTGTCAAGTGCTGTAATCTGTGCTTGTCCGTCACTGTGTAGGCTTGTACAGACTACAGTGACTCAGTGGCCCGGAGGATGGGCTTCATTCCTCTGCCTTTGGCTGTTCTGGTAAGAGAGGCTCCACTGTTGCACTGTTGCTATTCAGTCACTAAATACCACAATCTTATTGCTAATATTTATGTGCCAATGACTAATTAGTAATTGGCACACAAATATTAGCAAGAATTTCCCACAAACTTCTACTCAATGCTACAAGCTGAGGATAGCTGCCTGCTGGTTCTCGTCATTGTTTAAATTAATTAGAATGTCCATTTTTTCCTGCTTTTTAATGTTTCAACAGCTTATTCGAGTGGTAATGAGTTCGGTGAAGGTGCAGGGAGCTCTTTCATACACTTGTGTGTTCCTATTTTATCTTGGGTAAGTCTAAGTCAAAGTTATTCTGTTAAAATATTACTAATGTTATTTAGGGATGCACTGAATGTTCGGCCACCAAAATTAATCGGCCGAAAATAGCAAAAAATAAGTCAAAAGACCAAAGAAATTTTACCGAACAATTACATTGACATGTCGGCAGTGTGGAAGCATTTTAAAGTGTCTGGACTTGATGGACTTGATAAACTTAGTGCGAGGATACACATGTGACAACGTCCGGTTTTCAAAATAAGGTGTCTACAGGTTCACAGAAAGTATAAAACATATTACATGTGTACATTAAAAATAAATGGACACATGTAATTTACTTTACTGGACCGTCTCAGGCCTCGGACCCCCCCACCATAGTCTCTCCAAATCCTGTGGGAAACACTGAGTAAAAAGCACATTTTGACTATTTAATTTATGCAATGGTGAAAAAATGGCAAAAATGTGAGTGTACTTGTTTGTTATTCAGTAAATTCTTTCATTTTATTCGGCTTTGGCCAAGAATTTTCATGTTGGTGCATTGCTGATGTTATTACATGATTTTATGGTAGATTGTTCTGCCCATCATCCAACATTTAGGAGATTTTAAGCCTTGCATTGCTGTACTTGTAATGTACATGACCGTTTAATTTTACATATACTGAATATATTTTAATCTGGCTGTAAAAATGGAGCTCAAAAGGAGATTTAAAGGCTGAAACTGATTCTGGTTGTCTAAGTTGTTCACGCACATTACTCTGGTTATACGATATGTTGTTATTCCTTCCCTCTCCTTATTGAAATACAGACTTTAAACATTGAAATTATAGTCAAAGTCTTTATTTCCAAATTTTTTTATCGTAACACTGTGTGTTCATTTAGTCATAAATTGTGTGTTTTGTTTTGTTTAATGATAGTGCTTCAAATATGACATTCACACAAACATGCTCCCATGTGTTGTATACAGACATGCTTGCACAGTCTCTTGAATGCACGCTAACACATGCAGGCACTGTCATAAACACACAGTCAGATTCAGAGACACACACAGTTACATAAGCATTAACACTGTGCCCTCACGTTATCCCTGTGTTGAGCTGCTGATTGCCCAGCTCAGTCTCATTTGCCAGATCCCATTGGGTTCGTACCATTGAAGAATTTCCCTCAGGGTGAAGACTACAGTGTTGTCATCTCTAGTGCCATCTCTGGCCTTCTCCACCCCCTGATCTAAAAATAGCTCTGGCTTGAACAGACCGCTGTGCCTTGGCAAACATTCAGCCATGCTGAGTCTCAGTTCGAAACACCCTGTCACAGCGAGCACTGGTCCACAGACCCAAATGTGTCTGTCTCTTTCTCATCAGTGTCAGAGGCTGGGCCTTATAGCAAAGCCCAGAAACACAGAAGGATGGTGCACATCAACATCCCGGTGTCCGTGGTAGAATGTGAACAGTGCCGATCGAAACCAGATGGTAGAAGAGATTCATTATAGCTGTGGCCAAGCTCAAGACAGCGCTGTGATAACTCTGCTACATCTCAGCATTGAATAACAGCAAGAAAGATCAACAGCTGTTTAGTTATGGCAAATTTTATTTTTTTTAAATCTGCAGTTCATATTTGTGTTGATCCCTCCACCAAATTGGCAAAAAGTTCATATAATAAAGCAGATATTTGATTGCATTAAAAGCAATAACAGATGTTCAAATGTGAAATGTTTTAACATTGTCTATATGCCAATATTCTGTGATTATTGATTTCACAAATTAAAACTACAATCGACAAATAAGACATATATAAGTGTTCAGCCAGACATCAGAGCTGGGAATACTTTATCAAGCTTGATTGGTTCTTTTGTTTTTATTATTTAGGCAGCACATTTTTTATTCAGTTTTAACAAACTCTTCTTCCAGTCAGAAATTCACCTCTGTAATAGCCGCCTTCTCCCTCTTTAGGCTGGTTTCACTTAAAGTGTTGAACAGTATTGTGCTGCTGGGGAAGTCGTGTGTTTATGTCAAGAGGGCCAACATGGAGGACAAACTGTTTGAGAAGCCTTCCGCCACTCCATCCTCCTCCAGGAAAAGCTCCAGCAAAGCTGATCAGGCTAAATGTCCCACACCTTCAGGTAAACAACAAACATCTTTTTTTCCAGAACTGATAAGCTGGTAAAAGTCATGAATATAATTTTTTAAAAGGCTGTGTGTTTATACACAGATTAAATTTCTATAAATTTAAGGCAAACATGGAAATGTTGTGTTGCATGTACATGTTGTAGATTGTAGAACATTGGCTTGAAATATTTCGTTGATGTAACACTTGGAAAGTTGCATTCTATTTTGGAAATATGTAAAGTGTCATGACCTAAGAGAGCAGTCTGGTGGTTCTCAGGAATAGAGATGTAGTAAATGAGATGTCCTGGGATTTAATCTTGGTTATGACTAATATGCGTGTTGCTCACAGCCTCCTACTCGATTGCTGATCTCTCCTGTCTCTCTGCACTTTGACATACTGTATCTAAAAAAACAGTAAAGTCTTAGAATTATCTTTAAAAACAAATGCACCAAGGAGACCAATCACTATTGTTGTTTATAACTTACACTAAGGTGGATAATAGTTGTTTACATACAATTTATGTTTCCAAATGCTGTGTTTGTCCACTGCATGCAGGACAGTTCACCCCACCTTAGAGAATAATCATGTTTACATTAACATTTTCAGGCATTTAGCTTACTCTTTGATTTACATTTTAGGCATTTAGCTGACACTTTAATTTACATTTTAGGCATTTAGCTGACACTTGTATCCAGACACATTTGTCAGCAGGTAGGAGCTTTGTGTCCAGCTTCAGGCAGCTGAAGGAAACATCCACTGTGTGGTGATGCAGAAATGAAAGCTGTGACCTTTTTGTGGTTGATAAATCTTCCTTTATAACTCTGGGTGGTTTGTTTTCAGAACATTTATAGTTTAAATCAAATCGGATGATCCTATAATCATTATGGTGAATATTGTGGATTTACCAAGAAACAAAGCAACCCCTATAAGAGTGCAGTATAATGTCATGAAGTCTTGCATATATATGTCTGCAATTAACGAGTACTCTTTATCATTGATTAATTTGCCCCATATAATTGTTTATATAAAGGATGTTGTCTGTTAACTGCCGGAAAATGCATATTTCAGGTTGACGTATTGTAATTGCTTGTTTTGTCCAAATAGTACTCAAAAACCCCAAACACATTCAGTTTACAGTCATATTAGACAAAGAAAAGCAAATTGTCACATTTTAGGCGCTAAACCTTTTTCATTAATCTTCTAGGCTTGAGTATCGTTTAAAATTGTACGATACCAGTACAGATACCAATAGAGTACTTCATTCAGTACGTTCTTCAAAATACCACCTGTTGAAGACATAGTAGTTGATTGGTTGTTTTTTTTATTGTTGTTATGGACAACCAAGGTTATCTATTTTTTTTTTTTTCTTGTTTCAAATAACTGTTACATAAAAGTTTTGGGAAATTGTATCATATCCTCCTCATACTAATTAGGTCATCCTAACAGGTAGTATTATATGGGAGAAGACTGGCTTGTGGATTTTTTTATAGGCCTATTTGAATGAGATAGGAGGAGTGAAATAGTTTAGTGACCAAATAAGTTTTGGGAAACGAATTTGAGGTAATTTTTTGATACGTGTGTTGAAAGTAAACAACGTAAAATTATTTTGTTAACTTTCGATCAATTAACTGAATTGAAAGATCTCTGCGAGTGCTTTTTGCTTTATTGGCGAATCGCAAACCTCCTCAAAAAACGACAGTCGCAATTATAAAAGGAGTAAGGAGTCTGTTTAAACAAGTCACTAAACTACACTTCAGGCTCTAATGTAGCAAACAGAGGAAAAGAGAGTCTGCACATCCAGCTGATCACAGTGACTACATCTGAAGCAGCAGCAGCTGCAGCAGGAGGCTCCGTGAGTAAAATAGCTGATCTCTGCTGTGCCACAAAAGCGTTTAGTTGATATGATGGAACACAACGATCAATCTGTGACAAGTGATGTAAATAGCAAATAAAAATGTACAGAGAAGTGTTAAATGATACCAGGAGATGAAACCAACGGAAAGCCAAGCTTGTGGTGATAAACTTGCAACAGTGATGAACATGCCTAAGACCGCAGCCAAACGTGAAGGGACTGTTGCACACATGGACTTGGCGTGTGCAGGCCTTTTTTTAATACAGTTTATGGTGCAGGCACATAAGGGAAAAAAAGCCGTGCTCTTCTCTTTCTTTGGTGTGTTGCATGCATGTTTGGCTGCACTCGTCTAGTCCATGCATGAACAGCCCCTCACCTTCAGCTGCGGTCTCAGGCGTGATCATCACTGTTGCAAGTTTATCACCACAAGCTTGGCTTTCTGTTGTTTTCATGTTCTGGTATCATTTAACCTGACTCCTGTACTGTATTACTCCTGCTATACATTTTTATTTGCTATTCAAACCGCTTGTCACCTTTTGTGGCGCAACAGCAATCAGCTGATTTTGCTCAGTGAGCCTCTGGCTGCAGCTGCTGATATCGATGTAGTTGATGTGATCGGGTGGATGTGCAGCCTTTCTTTTCTTCTGCTTGCTTCTTTAGACTTTTTAGTGTAGTTTAGTGACTTGTTTAAGCCGACTCTTTACTCGTTTTCTACTTCTTACTGACATTTTAAGGATTGTGACTCACCACTAAAGGAAAAAGCACTTGCAGAGATCTTTCAATTCATTTTATTGATTGAAAGTTAATAATAATTCCCTGTTGTCCCACAACTCATTTGGTCACTATTTCACTCCTCCTCCCTCATTCAAATACAAACAAACTCCCAAGCTGTAGTCTTTCCCCGTATGATACTACCCGTAAGGATGACCTAATTAGGATGAGGAGCGATCGGATACAATTTCCCAATATTTTTATGTAGCAGTCATTTCAAAAAAAGACAATAGATCACTTTACTAATAATAAGCTACCAATCAACTACTATGGCTTCAACAGGCATTTTACACAAGGTATTGAATGAAGTACTTTATCGGTATTCATATTACTTTAAGGGTACTGGCTTTGGTACTGGTGTTGTAAAATTTTAAACAATAATCAAACCAATATATGACAGACATGAAAACAAACAACAAAACACATGTTAGAATATTTACATATGAATGTCCTTATTAACATTCATGTAAATATCCAGCTTTTAAATGGGTCCTGTACCCAAGCCGCACATACGCATGCACACAATCAGATTTGGAGGTGGCAATATCTCCCTGTCATCTGCAGCCAAATCCCTGCAGATCTTTACTCCCATTTGCCACAGACCCCGTCTGCTGCACTGAGCCAGGAGCTTTAAAATGACAAAGATCCTGATGGTGAATCATTTCATATCAAACATCAAACACAGTACTTGTGTTTCACACAAAGCTGGTTTCTCAGAATGCAGCCACTACAAGGCTGGAGGCGCCACGATCCAACATATATTAAATAATAATTATTTTGAGGGTGTGTGGCTTTTATGTTAGTCTCCTGCTTCCCACACATTTAGCTTCTGGGATTTGAACCAGCGACCTCACACCCCATGCTCACTTTTCTAACATTAAACCACTTTGGTGTGTGCTTGGAGCTTTACCTGCCACTCCAGTGTATTTACTGCACAATGTGTTCATCTTTATCTTTACAATGATCTGTATTCACATAACACTAGATATGCCATCTGTCTATACTGCATGTTTTTGTCCAGAGGGCAGAAATGGGTATAATGAGCAGTTTTACATCAGCCATTTCAAGCCCCATATGGTGGTTAACTTTTATCAAAGCTCACATATCTTCCAGAGAAGAAGTCTGTATTTATGCAGTATGTGACTCACGTAACATTTCTTCTAAATATTTTGTAATGTTCACCCTTAGGACTTTACAACACCATTTATTTACACATGTCAACAATAAACCACAGACAACTAACAATATATATAAAAGCCAACCTCAGAATAAAAAACAACCTAAACTATATACAAACCTGCATAAACAAGGTAAAATCACAACATTGGTATATTATTACCTTATCAAATTGATATGATAAGTTTTTTTAGTGAAAAGTTGCCTATTTACACTTCCAATGTCTTTTTAGCTCCACTCCTGAGAAAAATATCTGGCTCTTCAGCTGACTCTTGCTCCACTACACACTAACTTGGTCTGCCTGCTGTTGGGTGTTGGGAAGATAGTGTACAGTGGGTTTATCAGGGCTTTAGCCTGAAAGCGTTGAGACTGAACCAAAACAGTGAAGTTGCATAAGTGAAACCAATGAGGTGTCGAGAACAATGCTGAGTGTCGGGCACGACAGCTGCTTCGTTTATACCGAGTAGTGTTTCATAGCGGAGACAAACGATGCAGGTCCTGGGACACTTTGTGTCAACCCAACAACTTATTTTGCGTTCCAGATTGTTTTGCTTTCTTTTGGCTACTCTGCTCTGGCAACTTCTATTTGTACACAATCGTTAACATGGTGAAGCAAAAGAGGAATGATGTTGTTGGTGTTGTCACGTGGAACAATGATCTCTAAAAGTCCTGATTTCGATCAGTCCACTGTAGACAAACAAACAAATGGAGAAAGTTCAGCACTGTTGCTACTCTCCCTAAGAGTGGCCATCATGCAAAGATGACTGCTAGAGCATGCTCAATGTGGTTAAGAAGAATCCTAGAGTGTCAGCTGAAGACTTAATCTCTGGAACATGCTCACATCTCTGTTGACAACTCTATGATACATCAAACACTAAACAAGAGTGGAGTTCATGGGAGAACACCAAAGAGGAGGCCACTGCTGTCCAAAAAAAACATTGCTGCACGTCTGAAGTTTCCAAAAGGGCAGCTGGATGTTCCACAGCACTAATGGCTAAATATTCTGTGGACAGATGAAACAAAGGTTGAGTTGTTTGGAAGGAACACAAAACACGTGTGGAAGAAAAAGGAACAGCACACCAACATCAAAACCTCATCCCAACAGTGAAGTATGGTGTAGGGGAAATCTTGGTTAAGATCTTCTTTGCTGCCTCGGGGCCTGGAAGGGTTGCTATATCATGGATGGGAAAAATGACCAAAGTTTATCAAGAAATGTTGCAGGAGAATGTAAGGCCATCTGTCCGGCAATTGAAGCTCAACAGAAGATGACACAGGACAACAAACCAAAGCCCAGAAGTAAACAACAGAATGGCTTCAGCAAAAGAAAATATGCCTTCTGGAGTGGCCCAGAGTCTTGACCTCAACCCAATTGAAATGCTGTGGCATGACCTCAAGACAGCGACATCCCAAGAATATTGCTGAACTGTAACAGTTTTGCAAAGAGGAATGGTCCAAAATTCCTCCTGAATGTTGTTCAGGTCTGATCTGCAACTACAGGAAATGTCTGGTTGAGGTTATTGTTAAGAAAGGAGGGGCAACCAGTTATTAAATCCAAGGATTCACATACTTTTTCCACCCTGCACTGTGAATGTTTGTGTGCGTGTCTCTCGACCAAATCACAACATGTATGAATTCTAGTTAAAATAAAGCAAATAAGGAAATAATGAAGAAAGTGAGAGATTTGTGCACTATTTATCTACTATTTAACTATCAACAGGCATGACTTATTATAAATTCCTTTCTGTTTCACTACTGTATTATTCAGGCAGAATCGAAGATAACACCAAAATCCAACGTTTTCTAATATACACTTGGCCTACAATGTCTGTTTTCATGGCCTTTTATCATATTTGAAATTCTTTTTAATACATTACTCAAACACACTCTCTTTATGCTCAGTGGGTTGCAGTAGTTCTGTACAGTAAAGGGTCTGTTCAGCTCTGTCTACAGTAAGAATTAAGTTTGTTGTATCCAGATAGCCCGGGGCTGTGGACAGCCTTGTTAAAATCCAATGCTGCGCCGCTCAGTTCTCTGTAATATGATGAATTATTCTGTTTGGTTCATTTTCCTAATGCAATACACACTCTGTGTGCTCAAAGTTAGGCTTTGCGTTTTTTTTCTCTTAACATAACGCAGTGGACTCGTGAACCGAACCAACTGTGCTTCTTCATGTTCTATGGCAGCTTTCATTTCTGGCTTCATTTCATTATTCTCCGTTTGCTGCTTTGAAACTGAGTAGTCAGGTGGGTGTACATCGGCTGACTTGTGGACCCGGCAGGTTGAATCACTACTTGTCACTCAAGCCAGAACACCTTCGCTTCTTCTGTTACAGGCCGAGAACTGCTGCTCGATAGTACATCACACCCTCCAGTACTGCATCTTCTTTCTCAAAATTCTCTAAAAAATCTCATCTCTTCTTTCTCACACTCTCCTTTTTCCTTTTGTTTCTGTTCTGTGCTTCTGTGTGTCACATGATCATTTAGGAGTCACCGTCCCTCGGTAATGAAAAACTGTCTTATGACTATGTAGTAAGAGGAGATTACATCTAGTTTAGTGCTGAAACAACAAGCCAGTGAATTAATCAAAAAATATTCCACACTTTTATTCGGTTATTCAATCATCATTAGTTGCAACCCTAATATAGTTTAAAACTTATAGTTGCAGCCCAAACTTTATGACAGCACCAACAAAACAAATGTGAACATGTCAGTGAATGCAGAGATCTAAAGTAGTATTAGGGCACAACCATGTCCACTATATCTTCCCCTTAATACTGTATTGTGTTATGTTTTATAAATTGCTTTTAAATAGATCAGTTAAATGTGTTAAGGGAATAGTTTGACAGACTGGAACAAAGAGGAGGCTAGCCTAGCTTAGCATAAGGAGTTCTAAACCACACCTACCTGCACCTCTGCACGTTGTGCCTTGTTTGTTTAATCTGTATATGAACAGAAGTGTAAAAAAAGTTGAGGTTTTAGGAGCGATACGTGCAGGAACAATTTCATGAGCCCAGCAGACATCCCCAGTCACTTCTTGGAGTCTCCATATGTATGGAGACAAGTCCACATGGTGACCACAAGCCTTTATGCTAAGCTAATCGCCTATCTCCACAGACATGAGTCTCATCTACCTCTCAGCAAGAAAGGGCATAAGCATATTTCACAAAATGTCAAAATATTCCTCTAATTAATGTAATTTCACGCTTAGAAACTTAATTATGTCTATTAAATCTTATGTTGTCTACACAGGAGGCATTTCAGCCGTGTTTTTAGTCATCCGTCTCGTGTGTCTGTCAGAACAGATTCTCGTCTATTTTAATCAGTTCAGCTGTCAACACAGCTCAAGTCACGGACACGTTTTACTCATGCTTTACGTGCGTAAATGCGACCTGAAGTTGTGTACACGTGTAACTACAGAGATTGTGCGTTGGGCTCTGAGTACTGACAAAAGGCAGTTGACCTACACTCAGTACTGTGTATTAAAGTGTCCTGTGTAGACACCGACCGAGAACTGAAGCTGCTGCTGCTCTACGAACATGTTGTGCGGACATTGTGTTAAGAGTCTATTTGCTACACTGACCAGTATATGAGCTGAGCAACCTAAAACTGTTATTTGTCATTAAATAAAAAGTTTTGCCCACAATTCTTTACAGGTGAATCCAAGGTGGAGCAGATCCCTGCCACACCTGGCAGCCCACCATCAGCTTCTTCTTCTTCCTCTGTGACCACCCAGCCAACTCCCAGGACTGACTTGTTTCCTCCCCCGCCCACTGATGCCTCTCCTGCTGCTCCAGCTAGCCATCCTCCAACTCCACCACCTGAACCTGAACAGCCTGCACCTTCACTCTCCAAAGAAGAGGAGGGTGAGGAACAAGGAGCCTCTGAACTAAAGCACAGGACTCCCAAAAAAGACCTGCTGGAGATCGACCGTTTCACAATCTGTGGTAACCGCATCGACTGACCAGCAGAGGCTGATGTAGCGATTAACCACTCAGGAAAGACGGAGAGCAAGGGGCACTTCAGCCTGGCTCTCCTGGCCAACTGCAGCAGAAAGCTGAGTATTTATTAAAGTCAGTGGCAACACAGTGAGTTATTGTGAACATTGACACTGTCAGCTGATGAAGCTGTTGTTGAAGCCTGAAGTTTAACCAAGAAAACTTCAGCTGGCTGATTAACAGCGGGAGAGAGAAAGTGTGCGGCAGCCTAGTCGTCAGGATGAACTGTCGTGTGTGTGTGTGTGTGTGTGTGTGTGTGTGAGAGACAGTGAGACAGTGTTAGGATGGTTCAGTATTTGGTTTGGGTGTGACAGTGTGTGAAACAGCGTATGTGTGAGCGTGAAAGCACACAAGCACTTCCTGTCTGAGCAGCACTAAGACCTGAAGTTCGCTCAGCAGCCAGAAAACAGACAAACTTCCAAACTCTTACATTATAGGGAACACCTGAATCATTTGTCTTCGCTTTTAAGTGTTTCCTTTTTTCCTCAAGAAAACCCAGCCTGGAGGTCATGAGAGGTGTCTTAAGAGAAATCTGGTGCGTGACAAGGTGATTTAACAAACCAGGAACGCAGAAAAAAAACAAAGATATGTTTATTTAGACTTTTCTCAAATGTTAACCAGTTTTGTTTTCATGAATTACTGCATAATTTGACGTATTATAGTCTCAGACATACTTAAATGAAACAAAAGGTTTGTCTAAATTTGTCACAGACTGTACACATGTACACACTGGCTTATTTAAGGGGGTCACAAGCCAAAAGGGTAGGGAAACAGCACTCAGCAGTCACATACACTGAGAATTTTTAGACTATGCATTGCTGCTTGCTTTATTAACTGCTCATTTCAGAAGTTAATACCTCAGTGAGACTACGGTAGTAAGAATTTTGAAGTCAAGCACCATTTTACTTTCCATTTGATGGAGTTATAAACATGACTAAGAACGCTGAGTTTTAATCAGAGTCTTGAGTAGAGCCTTTCTTTTACACAGCCAACAGATAAAGTAATTTGCAGCCCACACTGCGCCTTCAGCAACTAAAGAACCTTTTATTTAAAGGACTCAGTCAGCGCACAATGTTAACAGGAGCTGCCAGTCAAATTCTGCCTACATTAAATCTGCTGCTTCTACCAGCCGCTTACGCAGCCAAACGTATTTCAGAGGTCCACTTAAAACTATGTAAGAAAAATACTGAAAAATACTAATAGATGCTGAAGATAATCTTAACATTCTTCATGCTTAGGGTTGTTTTTCAAATTGCTTTAAATACAGTATGTTAGGAAAAAAAACCTTATCTGAAAATCATCATTTATGATCTCTAAAATGCAGATAATTGTTTCTGTCCAAGGAATAATATTACATCACATATCCTTCACCAAGCAACCTGAGTCGTTTTATTATAAAAATTGAGAATGTTTGCACTGATGGACCGTGTGTCTTAAATATGACGTAACGTATGTGTCCCATTCGACTCTCGAGTAATGTCCTAATGTTTACATCTTAGAGAATAGAAGCAATATTTCCACAACAAAACGCCTTTCTTGCATGTGGTTTTTTACATTTTGGTGACTGACATTGTAAAATTGTTTGCTATGATTTCAACTTTTATTTTATTGCAATGAATAAAATCTATAAATACAATATATAATAGACCAATTATATCTTCAAGTGTTCATTTTTCAGCCATTTATGTAACTGAGTGTAAGCAAAATATATTATTCCTAACATTATATGAGAGGTTTACAATTCAATGTCAGGCCATAAAGTAACAGCAGCCATGTCAAATATTTCATTTCTCTCCATGTAGCACTTTATGGTTCCTGACGTCTTGCTGTTTTGTGAAGCAAGACTGGTAGTTTTATCAGAAATATATAGACAAATATGTTACTTGACTGGTACAAGATATAATTATTAGCTTTGGAAATTACCATCAAATCAAACTAAATGCTGGTATGTTTTAATATTATCTTTGACAGAAATCACTTCACCTTTAGTTAGATTTCCTCTTTCTGCTGCACTCTTCCCAATGCTTCATCTTCATTTTGGAATTTAAAGGTTTCTGCCCTGTTAATGACACAGTTTAACATATGACATAATATATTTAAAATTGCTTTAGCAGAAGCTGTCATAATGTGGAGGGGAGCCTCATATTTTATTAACAGAAGGAAGATGCGTATATACATGTAAACACATATCAACATTTATTTGATTCTGTTTTGGAGAAAAAAGGTTCTTTATAATTATGTTCATTACCGTTGTAATAAGGAAGGTAGTTCTATTTTTGGAGCTGACAGCTGTGATATGTTTTTGTGCATGAAATATGATTCTCCTCGTCTTTCATGTGGTTTTGTCAAATGTCTCATCTCCACTGGCCTGAGCTCAGTCTTGTTGTGGTCTGACTGGAGGGGTTGATTTCCTCTCCAGTCATCAGAGGAGATCAACCACAACTGCAGCCAGCTGGGCTCAACCTGAGCTTATGGAGATGAGACAAAAGTGTTCTCATGCAAGCTGCGATGGGCCAGTACACTGCCTGCGTTGTTTAATCTGTTTCATTCTTTATTTAATTCCTACCTCGATATTTTATGAAAATGCCCCCTTTTGGATTAATAAAAGTTGTTTTCTTAAGTGTGTTTTTTTTAATCGTTTTGAAGATATCCCACATTTTTCTTTGTTCTTCCTTTGGCTGTCTCGAGCCTCAGACTTTGTGTTGTTCAAGTCAGCTTCTTGATTTGGAGTCATGATGAGACAAACTTCCTACACATGTGAAGCAACTACTAAAGTTTCACTCCGCTACATCAGTATACTCACGTCCCCAGCTGCAGTTTTTCGGGATCAGTCATTCATGTCTTGAATGGATCTTCTACATGCTCGGTTCTTGTTTATTATTTAATTATTTTAATAATAATTCTGAGGAAATACAAAGTCAATTTTTACATCTTATAAAATTGTGGAATTTGGAAACTACTGTATAGAAAACTATAAAATGTTGTTTAGTCCAGGTGCACAAAAACATGCCTGTTTTCACTAGTCCATCCTATTCTAGCGCACAAAAACTATGACATTTTCCCATACAAAAAAAGAATGTGAAATTATGTTTTAAAGAACTCGCATTTGAAATGTACTGTATTTTGTGTGTGCATTTGTATCTGTGCTTTTTTGGAAAGGTTAAAATAGATCATGTACGCGACCAGCGGCCACTATAGTAAGTATCTGAACACTTCCTCGTTAATGCAAATATCCGCCAAGTGACAGCAACTCAATGTATAAAAGCATGTACATGACATGGGCAACTTTGCCCTCAGACATATACACAAGCCCTCAAAAACACACACACTACAACACAGTTTTACACACTGGTGTGATAAATTCAAAACAATACTACAAGAAACTGGTTATTAGTAATGAACACAAAAGAAATAATAAATGTAAACATTTGCACACATTTTTTATTCCTTAGTGTGCTGTACAGTTCAACACACCACCTCCCTACTCTTCCTCCCTCTACCTCCTCCTACTTCTCTACCTCCTCCACCTCGTCTTCCTCCTATCCCATCTCCTCCAACTCCTGCTGTTCCTCTTTCTTTACCCTTTACTCTTCTCCATATTGAGTTGCCTCCTCCTCCTCTTCTTCCTCTTCCTCCTCTCTGGTTTCCTACACCTCTTTCTTCAGATATCTCTGGATCCATTGTTCAAAAACTGAATGAACCGACCCTTTTAATAATAATTTTATTTTTATAGCGCTTTTCGGGACACTCAAAGACACTTTACAGTAAAAGCAGAAGTTATGTACATTTAAAACAGATAAAATATATGAACAGTAGATAAAAACGTGGTGCAGAAATACATAAGAGCAAGGGGCGACCATATAAATAACAAAATAACAAACATCAGCAGGTGTAATATCTATTGAAGCTTCGGATTGGTGTGTTATCAATTTTGACTGTGTTTCCACCTGGGTAGCTGTGTGCTAACTGAGCTCAACCTGGGCTGATTGAGTTAACAATAATGAACGTCGGTGCTTTCTCAATGACCACATGGTGTAGGGAATGAGAAATGAAGGGATTTGTGCGTATATCTTCTAATGGTGTCTTCTAGCAGGATAATGCTCCATGTCACAAAGCTCAAGTCATCTCAGGCTGGCTCCACAGCCAACAGCACCTTTGGGATGTGGTTAAACAGGAAATTTGCAGCATGAACGTGCAGCTGATCAAATCTGCAGCAACTGTGTGATGCTCTCACGTCAACATGAGGCAGAATCTCTAAGGAATGTTTCCAGGGCCTATGTTGAATCCATGACATAAAGAACTCTTCTGGGGGCAGCAGTATCTGTGGAGGAGGTGAGGTCAGGTAGAGTAAATCTGCAGCAGACATTCTTAAAGGGCTAATCTCCTTATACTGCTGAAGACTGACAAGAGCTTCAGCTCTGTCACAGCTACCAGGAAGTACAGGATGACAGTAGTAGTATTAGTAGTACTTGGCAAGAGTCCAGTACGTCAGACAGACTTTGAGGATGATATGATGGTAATTCTGACACAGGGCTTAGACTTGAAAAAAGGAAGCAATTTAAGGGCAACATTAAATAAATAACCAGTAGGAAGACGATAACAGCAGCATAGACACGACTAATGAGGAAACAGGCAAAAATTAACTATAGCCCTACTGCAGAGGTTTTTGTAGATGATTTTTTAAAGCAATATGAGGAGGGAGGATGTATTTTATTGTACTTATATTTTTATCAGAGTTCTTTTTAGCCAAATAATGTTCTGAAAAACTGTCTCTTTGGTTCAACTAGTAGAGGATGTCCTCAACCAATGTCCTCTTTCAGTGTATGAAAAGTGCCTGTACAGCTAAAAGTCCCACCCTCCCCTCTGCAGGTCTGATGAGTGTGTGATCAGCGAAGAAAAGTGCTCAGAATCAGTGATCAGAGGTTTCCAAACAGGACTCCCCCTTGTCTTCAGGAGCTGGGGGCCTCATGTGCTCGGGAGAGAGGACAAGGATGTTATTGTGCAAAGAGAGAAGACGAGCCCACCTGGTCGCTGCTCCACCAATCACATCACCCCCTCTGGGCTGCACCGCAGGTATCCTCTGTCTGCCCTCTGGGTGGAAAAGAGGTCAAAGGTCACAAAGACGGAGAACACCTGTTGGCAGGTCAGATGGAAAGTGAGCTGCAGTGAAATGAAATTTACAGAATAAAACAAAGAATTAGCCTTAGTCTGATTTTATGAGTTTTAAAATGTTGTCCGCTTAATTAAAAGCATAAACTGTAAGTTGAATTAAAATTAGCTCCACCTTGACTAGAATATTAAAAATGCTGCTCAGATGTTAATGCAGCAGTGACAGTAAGCCAATAATATAATATACTGTATGATAATACACTAGAATTACAGTGTGTTACTATGCAAGCTCTTGTATGATGACTTACTTTTGATTCTTATACTTTTATTGTATTTTATGATACTACTTTCATACTTTTACTTGGGTAAAACTTTGAATTTATGACTTTTACTTGTTATGGCGTATTTTACAGGGTGGTATTGCTACTAAATATTACAAACAAGACTATATGACAAATGCAAAGAGATAACTTTTGTGAACTGGCGCTAAAGAAATAAAATTGAATTGAAGTACAGATCTGAATACTTCTCTAACCATAATTTTATCACTACCTCAAAATTTTAAGTATAGTACACACATTCCACCACTGCCTATTTCCCTTAAAGTTTCTGTCAGCCTACAGGTGATTCAACTGACTATAAAGGTGGTAAATAATACAATGTTTTTTCGCAGTATGTAGGCCGATAGACCCATCAGAATAGCCTACTGAAATACAAGATGTTAATTCTCTAACTCCATCCTCCTCTCCCCGGCAGGAGGAGCGCTTCTGTCTGATCAACTCCTCTCTGTATGTGACGGAGGCGCGCACCCCCGCCCGCTCCCGTGACGCAGAGTGCACAGATGCTGGAGTAGAAGCGACAGGCGCGCTCATCTCGGTGGGACTGAACACATCGGGGAAAAGATCACCCGGTTTGTGTCCGTCAGGAGCCTCAGACCGCGAGGAACCATGCTCAGATCGAGTCTCTCCGCTGGCAGCAGGACTTAAAAATCTGCGGTCCATCCATCTGGACACTTTTTACATTTACTCTCGTCCCTTCGCCTTTGATAAGGAAAACAAGAATCCAGGCAGTCATCTTCCAGCTTACATCCCTCTTTGGGTAGGCTATTTAACCCCAGTTTGACGGCCACTCGGGGTTTCGTTAAAGCACAATGTGGAAGACCGGGATCCCTCTGCTGCTGTGGGTGCTTTTGGCATCCGGCGAACTCCAGCAAGAGACGGAGCCGCGGAGACTCCCGCCCCCGGGAAAGTTGGATTTCGGTTATGTGCCTGCGGGAGTTTACGAGACACTGGCCCATTACGAACCGGGACCGATAGGGATCCTGTTCCACATGGTGCACGCTTTTCTGTATGTCGTGCAACCCAACGCTTTCCCCCAAGGTAAGCATCCTCATCTAGTCTCACAGTGAAACAGGTCCATAAAACCCCTGGGGAATCTGTCAGAGACCGACAGAAAGGGAATGCAATTAGGACTAATTACTAACATTAAATTAGTCTGACCATATTAACTTGATTAACTGTAACAATATAGGCTATTATCTATCTCGGCATATAGGAGTTGTTTCTGAAATGTTTAAGAGCGTGGATCCTGTTTGGCTGTCCTATGGGACTGGTTGGTTTCAGGAATGTCACAAACCCAAGATCAGCTCTGTCCCGAATAAATTTTACTGGGTCACTCGTTGGAACTTTTCTGCGCCAAAACTAGAAAGACGTTTGATTTTGTTCTCGTAAAGGATTTGTCTCATCTGTCTCATTGCGTGAAAAGGTGTCCACTCGTGAATTTATAGCCCATTTGTAGTTCACGTCCCTCCATGCCCCTGTCCTGATTTAAAGGTGGTGTTTGTGGCTGCGGCGCATTTTGTCAGGATAATGACTATTAATGAACCTCCTACTGACAACATCACGCGCCGAACGGCTGGTTTACTCACAGTTTTTGCCTGAGTGAGTGAATGTTTGTTTGCACCTAGAAAGCCTCAGCGCGCGTGGCTCAACATTTAATACAATTAAAGCTGACTACTTAACCATATACACATGAGGTGTGTGAGTTTAATTGGGTCGTGAATGCTCAAAAGATGCGACTCTCCTCCATGCGTCACAGTCTGTGTTCGTACTCCATCGGAACATTTTGCAGATTAGCAGCTCTCTGAGTCACCTTGTTAATTGGCTAATCCCATAAGCCCCTGCACCATATGTTGTTGGCCTTTTAGTTTCCAGTTTGTCACCGGCACTTGGGGGCTCATAGCCTAATCCTATGGAGCAGACCACTGCTCAGTGAAGTTGTTAGTTCATCCATGGGTGCACCCACCAAATTATGCAATATGGAGAATGGAAATCATGTGGAAAATGTTGGGTTGTACACAGTATTTCAGCAAACAATTGTACACGGTTTTGCATGGCAGTAGGTTTGTCATTCCTTTGATTAGAAAGCCCAGAGGATTTCATTATTATTTTTGGGTTCATCAGAATCTAAATGGCGTAAACAAAGGCCATCTGCTTATTAATAGCGGCATTGCATGCATGGATATTTCGCATGAGCAATCCAGTGATCTGTCAGGTATGTTACAGGCTGATTTGAAGCAAACCTTTGAGACTTGCAGAGCTTGTCTGCACTGTGCCTTTTGTTGGAAAACATTACTTGGAATTACATAAAAATCTATAAGACAAGTGAAGAATCTGAGTAGTTTCCACTCCAGTGGTTTGTGACTGGAGTAGATGCAGATGTCAGAGTGGAGATCTGTTTGGGCTCGGAGAATGTGACTGTCTCTACACTTAAGCATGTGGTAAGCCACAGCGTTATCCTTCTTCCAGCAGAAATCTAAAGAATTAATCAGTGAATCCTCAAAGTAAAAAACAGCAGATATTGTCCTTCTCAACAAGGGTTGCTCATCTTGTAGTCCGTGTTTAAATTACATGTTCTTTAAAGCGGCAGTGAAGATATTTTTCAGTGAAGATCTGTGGCACTTTCAAAGGCTTTTTATTTTTTGGGGGAAAAAACAAAACAAAAACAGAACTTAAGGTCCACTTACTTAAAAAAAGCTTCCAACTAAAATGCAGCTAAATGGACCAAGAGGTCATAAAACTGCTTAACATGGGGCATGTCCTTCATCCACACAAAAATGGACAAATTGCGGGCTGCCTACTTCACTCAAGTAAAGGTTGTTACAATGGAGCAATGAAGAATAGATAAAATGATTACAGCTAAAAGCAACACTGTTGCTGCAAATAAGGTTAGAGAGGAATACTGGCAGAACTATTAATGGTAAATGGTCTGTACTTATATAGCACTTTTCTAGTCTTCCAACCACTCAAAGCACTTTACACTACATGTCACACTCAACCTATTCACAGAGATTCATACCATGATGGCAGAGGCTACCATACAAGGTGCCAAGTCATCAGAAACAGAAACTAATACATTTACACCCACTCAATCACCGACAGCACAGCCATCTGGAACGATTTGGGGTTTAGTATGGAGGAACCAGGGATCGAACCACCGACCTTCTGATTAGTGGACAACCTGATCCACTGCCGCCTCTAATCAATTCAGTGCATTCTGAATGCCTCCCGTTTGTTTCTAACGTGACAACTGCACATTGTAGAGCTCTTAAAATTTAAGCTTGATATAGGATATCTAAATATTATGCTCAAGAAGTGCATTTAGGTGTGACACTTTCCCATCATGAAGGATACATGGAAATCACTTTGGTTTTAATATTACCTGAAGCAACTGGGGGAAAATTATTTTCTGCATCAACTGAATGCATGTGATTTCCTGTGGCAATAAAAAATAAGATGCATACAGTTTGCTCAACTGTATTAGGCATTGTACGCCTTTGTTCGGTGGCATTACTAACATATGACTCAACAGGTTTGCATATATAAGATTTGGAGATTTAACCACCAAAATTATTAGGGAGCTCAGTGTTCAGTATCAGCTGGGTACACTAGTATCACACAAAAACTACCGGGATGGAAAGCTCGAACTCTGGGTAAAAGGAAAATAATATAAATTAGTCAGTATTCAATGAACAGTCAAGATCGGCCTGATGAATCGGTCTGACTCTTTTAGATGAACAATGTGTTGCTGTTTAATGAACAACTCCCCATCATTACATCTTCCACAATCAATGTGTGACATTCAACATTGTAAAACATCTTTATAATCTCATGAATGTTTGATGCAGTCGACTGACACGCTCATTCTCTGTGTCAAACGGCGCACTGGCACCGAGCTCGTAGGAGGTGCTATTAGCAAAGAAGCAACAAATGTCTATCACTGACACCCACACGAGGCAAATGAACAGTGACATATTCTCCCTGACATTTTTACCGGCTTTTTGCTGCAGTGTGGGAGCCTCACCTCCCTCCTTCCCTCACACCTACCCACACTCTCACCAACACACAACTGCTACATGCCAACACACAGGCGGATGCAAGAGATACAATGCTTGAGGAAGCAATATCAGAGCTGAAAAAGAGTTGAAAAGTTTAATGATATGAAGAAGGGTGGGGGGGTTATGGTTCCCTCTCAAGCTGCATTGCTGATGGAAAACTTGTTTTGGTGTTACGTCCTCAATTAATAACCATCATGAGCATCGCCCCCTCGTATTCTATTAAATCTCCTAAGTAGAGAATTATGCTGCCGAAAATTTAAAAAATTACACTATGCCCAAGTGTAGAATGAAAATATGTTAAATTGGGTTCGTCTTTTAATTCCTATTTGCGTTTTGCTGAATATTCATGTATTCATCCATGTAGTTGGTATGGATGGACGTTGAAAAATATAAGTAGGTAGACACTGTCTGAATATACTGTAACTGTGGTTTATGAGGTTTTTTTTAAATCTCTTTTCACACCACAAAGCGAAAATAATTTTTATAGACTGACGAAAGACTAAGCGAATCAGTGTGAATTAGGGGAAACAATCTTAATGGTTTGTCCAGTCTTTGTCAGTTTTAGCTAGTCTTCAGATTTGTCCCAAGCTTGACACATACACTCCAACTTTTCACATCGAACAGAGTTTGGATTTGGAGGTGTTTTCCTGATGCTCCTGTCCAAGGGCAGAACAAACAGTGTTGCCGTGTTTTTCTCAAGGACTCCCAAGTGGAAAACATGACTGTAGGTGGACTGTAGCCTTTAGCTACAAGGACTTTATTTTGATCCACTGCTCTCTTAATAAAAACAGTAAATTTTTCTGAGTCTAATTAATCTTGCTGTAAGTCAGCAATCACTTGAGAATAGAGTTGCATTAAGCTCCCTCTGCAGTTTTCAGACAGTATCATTTCACGCCTATGGGTGAGCGCGGCTGGGGAGATGATGCCAGCCACCATCATGCAGCAGATGCCAGTTGGAAAGTGTTTTCTCATTAGCACCTGTATTCCCTCTCCTCAAGAAACCACGCCTACGTGGAAGTCATATAACGGAGGACTGGTGAAAATCGAGCAACAGTTGCCAGGGAAACTCATCGGTAGCTATCATGGCCTTTGTGTTTTTGTTTACCTTGCTGATTTACATATATCTCACTGCACCAGTGAGATGAGAGGTGAAATATTGTGGTACAATTTGCAAGGTAGATTCATACAGGCTATGTTTATTTAACACTCATCAAAAGGGAGTCCAGGGTGGGTTTTTTTTCACAGCACAGAGGCGTAAAGACACTTTGGCGTTCAGTGAAGGTCGCACAGACAAAAGAAACTGAGGAGGAACACTTCAAAAGATTTTTAACCAAGGACAAAGCAGAGATCCAAGCGCTTTGTGATATGCCTCAGAAATTTACTGGAATTATAAATAGGCAGACATTTTGGTTTAACATCTTCCATGTTTTTGTGTAGAAAATATTGACAAAGCAAGAGACTCTTTAAGGTACAGTGCTGATAAATCTCAACTATACTGGTGAACAAGGGTCAAACCTATGAATATTTCTTTAGTGTTATTTCTTCCTAGATGGTTTAGCAGCATATGGTTTGCTGGGATTTCACATATAGCAAGTTAAATATAAATATATACTATATTAACTATTAAAGGGGGATTCCAGGGAGTTAGTAGTTATAATGGCTATGTTCAACTAAATTTTGAATGTTTCTGATGCAGGTAATAAATAAATATTGATCACACTGAACACAAAGTGTTAACAGTGTATGAGAGTTGTCTGTAGTTTGGGCTGCTTTAGTAGAAGTGATTGGGGCATAGAGCGAATATTCATAGGACACAATTGAAATGTGACCGTGCCTTTAGACTTCCCATGTTTTTTCAAACTCCAACCTCAGAGTTTGTTCCGCAGGCTGTCTACAGTATTATTTTCACAGTGTGAATAGTACTCCCCATGACGAGTAACATGAGCTTAATGTGGCCTCTCAGAAACCTCCAGAATTGCTCAT